CATTTGCCACGATATATATCTGTGAATAAGAAGGAAAATGTGTTTGTTTTTTTTTTATGATGGCGAGAAAATTGTATATATATTTTAGTTCGTCGCGGAGCATTCAGAATTGCAATGGGATACGTTGGAAAATAATATGTAAATTCCTTGGGTTTTTCCTTTGCACTGCACTAACGGGGGTAGAATGGGCTCGGGTGGAGGGGTCCAAAGGTAAAACTGTTTGTTTATGGGATAGGTTCTAGCTGGCAATTTGGAAATCATTTGGAGTAGCTTGTAATGCTGGAATAGAATCTTTAGCTGCTACTTAGAAACCCTTTTGCATGTGGTTCTTCCAGACCTTTTTAAGTTACAATACATCCAAGTAAATCCCATGATGAAAAAAAAAAAAAAAAACAACAAAAATAAAGTGTAATTTTGCTGATAGCTCCTTTTATTTTTTTGGCAGCCATGGTTTTTATCACCAATAAACCCACGCAAGAGGGATGGGGTTTGTGTTGGGCTTCTATGGGGTATAGTGCTTGTGGGGATGGATCCTTCCTGATGGTCAGCATTTACACCCCACCCAGAACTGCACTGCTCAGCTGATCCCATCCTGCAGCCTCAGACCCAATGGGGCTCAGCCAGGGCAGCTCCCAGCAGCTGTTCCTCTGCAGCTGTCCCTCTCCCATTGGGGTGGCTGAGAGGGGAGTGGGTGATTTCACAGCTTCCATTCATTTCTTTGGATCACATTCCCAAATCCCACCCGGCTCTACATGCAGAGGCATTTTTCCAGAGTGATAAAATAGAAATCACAGCCTTGCTTACAAATTGCCCGAGGTGTTTTTGGAGGAAAGGGAAGGTTTCACCCCAGAGATGCCACTGCGAGCTGCCCTACTACTGAATTAATAATATTTTTCCTTGCTCTTCTGGCTGTGGTTAGAAGGATGCAGCTCAGCCAGGTGTCACCTTGACCGAGCTGCAGACCCCTGCCTGGCACAAACCATATCTCTGTTGGTGCCATTCAGTCTCAGGGAAGCTCTCCAGCACATACCACAGTATGAAATGCTGATTTCATTGACCTGAGCGCTGTTCTGCCAGCAGAAACCCACAGCACAGCACTGAAGCATGGAACAGGTGAGTGCCAAACTGCATTCATGCCACCTCCTTGCTGGGGACATCCCTGGCAGCACTTGGTGACGTGCAGCCCTACAGCCTGGTGGAGGTGGGTGCCCAGCAGCTCCATGTGGTTCCATGTGACCCCCCCAGGTTGTGCACAGATAAATGGGGCATTATTCACCGTGCCAGGTCTGTGCCATGTGCTGTAACCAGACCAGGAGCAGCCTTCCCCAAGGCATTAACAGGAGCATCCGTCTCCAGCCCCCAGCTGGCTCCAGCCCTGTGCCCCAGCAGGAGGAAGGCTGCCCCAGACACAAGTTCTATTTTATCATCTTTTTTTTCTTTTTGCAGCTGCTGACATAATCTCCCACATTAGCTGGACTGGTCAGGGTGCTGCTCTGAGCAAACACAGCATCAGGATTGGCTGCACTTACTGGCTGCCCTCTGTAAATAACTCCATGCCCAGAGTACTGCTGGCCAGCCAGCCCTGAGCACGCCCCATCACTTGGTGGCCTGTGGCCGGCCAGCACGTGGCCACCTCCCTCTGCCACCCCACAGCAGGCTGCCCTGAGAGCCACACATGGTAGCAATCCAGAACCTGAGAACAAGGTCCCCAACAGCTCTACAAACAGGGAAACTGAGGCAGGGGGATGCCGAGACCAGAACACAGATAAGCTCCAGACAGTACCAGCTCCACTCCACTCAGTGTCACGCAGTGGTGGTGTTTTCCAGGATCAAACTCAGGTTGCAATGCAAGGCAGAGCAGACTCCATGCATGCTTGTGCAGGCTCAGCAGGGTGATGGCACGTGCTTGCAGCCTCACGCAGGCAGTGTGATCAGCTGCAGTTCTGCAGCACGCTTGGCTGGTTCATCTGTGCATTTGTTCATGTGTGCTGGTTCATGACCTAGAAAACTCCAGCTGGCGCATGCAAGCCAGCATGCCCCTTTATTTTGTAATTAGTCTAAGGGGAAGGATTGAGCTGGTTATGTTCCCTTTGCGTTATGCTGACCATCAGAAACACACACCTCCCTCATTCTGGCTCTGGAGCTCCACTGGAACCTGATGTTCAGAGGAACCGTAGTACAGCAGAGCTCTGCACATCTCTCCAGGACACGGTGTGTGCTCAGGGTGTCCTCTCACCCAAAGGTCATGTTTGTAATTTGCATGCACTGATGAAATGGCTCTGTCCCACCAGACAGCAACACCCCACCACGAGCAGTTCTGACTTGCTTACATCTCTGGTTATTTGGAGTGGTTGGTGGAGGAATTTGGGCTCTCTCTTTAAAACAAACCCTTTTTTGTCTTTTAGAAAAGGGAGAGAAATGCCTGAGATGGACTAATTCTGAACATCTGAGCCCCTCTGCTTCTATTCAGGCTCTTTTCAGAGTCGGGAGATTTGGATGCAGGCCCATCCTGCAGTCTATCCAGCACATAAATGGGGGCTCCCAGGGGCGGTGATGCTGAACATGCAGAACCCCTTAATCCACAGCCCAGGCAACAGAATCCAAATCTCTAAAGCACTGCACCTCCTGCCCAGACAGGCCCTCATTACAGGACTGAGTCCTGAACAGAAGGAGCACGAAACCTTTGTGCTGAGAGAACTAAATTAAACCTTAAATTAAACCTTTTCTTACCGCTTCTAAACGTTTGTGGGTTGTAGTTTTTTAAAAATTTTTTTAATTTTTTTTTTTCTCTCTCTCTCTCCATTCACGCCTTTGCTTTGAACTCACGGGTCTGCCTCAGGAACTTTGTAAATCCCTTTTAACCCAGCTCTTCCAATGCAACTGCTGGGAACTGGGGCGGGAGGGGCAGATGTTGGAGAGCTCTGTTTGCTCCCTGGCAGCCGCTGAGCCCTGCTGGCTGTGAGCCCCCCCTCAACCCTGCTGTCCGGAGCCAATCTGAGAAGAAAAGTCAGAATTCTGTTCTGTTTTGCAGTTCTCCATTCTTCCCGACTTTGTCGTTGAGCGGCGGAGCGACAAAAAGGAGTAAGAGCTCATCCAGGGCTGGGGAAGCTGTGCTTGGCCCCGTTGGCTGTTGGAGCTGGTTAATGTTTTTGCAGCGGGGCCAGAGGACGGCGGTGCGGAAGAGGAGGAGGAGGAGGAGGAGGAGGAGAGCATCGGAGGAAGGCAGACGTCCTGTGGCCATCGCGAGTGTTGCTGGTGAGTGGATCCTGGATCTTCTGTGGGGATTCCTGGTGGGATTTCCCAGCTTTGCATGGTGGCAGTGAATGGGGTTCCATAGTGGGGAGCTCTGCAGCAGAACCCAATTGTGCTGCTCCACCGCAGCCCGCTGCAAACTGCTCCAAAGCCGTGTGTGCCCAAAGCATGTCCCCAGTTTGTGGTGTAGAACTGGAGGGCTTGATCTGCCCCCATCCCCCCCAGCAGCCATTGCTCTGTTTTCTTTTGATAAGGAGCAAACCTTGCGCCTTTGTTGTTGCTCTTGAATGCATGGGGAAAAAAAAAAACAACACACACAGAAAAGGGGTGGTTTCTGCGGGCTGGCAGCGAGCCCAGGAGCCGCCTCGTGTATTTCCAGGCCCCTTTTGTAAGCTGGGCCCCTCTGAAGGGTGTTTGGAGACTGCTGTTTGGATACAGTTCCCTGCTGGACGGGGGTCCGAGCCCATGCTCTCCCCTATGGGACCCCACTCACTGCCACCATGCTGCTCTGGGTGCTGCTCAACCCATTGCCCAACATGCAAGTGCCATCACCGATGCAACCGCTGTCCCAGTAGTGACCAGCTGGCACCCCTGCTCACAATCTGGGATCTCTGCAGGTTGACATGTCCTACATGAGCTATGCCCTGCGGGTGGCTGCCCCCCGTCTCCTGCCAGCCCCCTGGAGAAGCCCTCGACCCTACAGCAGCACAACAGGACCCACGACCGAGAAGAGCGTTCCCTACCAGAAGACGCTGAAAGAAGAAAGCAATGGGAGCACGGGGCCCAGCCGACCACCCCCAGCCTCAGCAGAGGTGGTGGTGGTCGGGGGGGGCAGCCTGGGCTGTCAGACCACTTATCACCTGGCCAAACTGGGCATCACCAACGTCGTCCTGCTGGAGAGGGACCGCCTGACAGCGGGCACCACCTGGCACACGGCTGGTGAGCTGCAGGGATGGGAGCCTGTTATTGCTGTTTGTGAGCCCACGTTGCACCAGGGGAGGCTCAGGTTGGATACTGGGAAGCATTTGTTCTCCAAGTGAGCGGTAGTGTACGGCACAGCACAGAAAGTGCTGGAGTCACCATCCCTGGGGTCTTCCATAACCGTGGAGATGTGGCACTGAGGGACGTGTCAGTGGGTATGGAGGGATGGGCTTGGGGATCTGAGATGGCTTTTCCAACTGTAATGATTCCATGATTGCTATTAATAATGTTATTGCTATTATTGTTAATAATATGCCAATTTTCTTGGGCAGGGAGGGGGGAAACTACAAGAGTTTAACTCAGCCATCATTTCTGGGTGTTGTGTCTTTCAGGGGTAGTTCTCCATAGAGCCCCAACCCCCCTTTTCCCATTCATTTAACACCCAATCAGCAAAAAATCCATGATCTGTAGCGCTCCGAAGTAGCCACGAGATGGAGCAAGAGCCCCAGCGGGGTGACACAGTGCCACGAGTGGGACGGGGAGGGAACCAGGAGGCAACCGGAGCTCTCACCTCGGTCCCACTCGGCTCCGTCCCACGCTGCCCCCAATAGGTTTGCTGTGGCAGCTCCGTCCCAGCGACGTGGAGGTGGAGCTGCTGGCGCACACGAGGGATGTGGTGAGCCGCGATCTGCCGGCCGAGACGGGGCTGCACACGGGCTGGGTGCAGAACGGGGGGCTCTTCATCGCCTCCAACAAGCAGCGCCTCGATGAGTACAAGCGGCTCATGTCGGTAGGATCAGATCTCAGCATCCCCTTGGGACATAGCGTTGGTCTGTTGGGGTTCGTTGGGTTTGGCATCAGGCAAGATGAAGCCCAAAGATGATCCTTTTTTGCCCTTTCAGATGTCGTTTTCCCAGTTTCAGAGCAGCCTTTGTGCAGCCTCAGCCCATATTCCCATGCAGATCATCACACCCACCTCCAGATGGAGGGCTTGCCTTAGAGCAACGTCATCCCTGGGCCATGCGGGGGACTGGGGAGCAAAACGTGTCCTTGGGTTTCCTCCAGCATGGGATGAGTTCACACTCACGGTTTTCTTGTCTGCTGGCAGCTGGGGAAGGTGTACGGCATAGAGTCACACGTCCTGACCCCAGCACAGACCAAGGAGCTGTACCCACTAATGAATGTGGACGACCTGTATGGCACTCTGTACGTCCCCAAGGATGGCACCATGGATCCTGCTGGCACCTGCTCCACCCTTGCCAGAGCAGCAACAGCCAGAGGTGCTACGGTAATGCCTGATTACTAATTAATGCTTGTTGGCCCTGGGAGCAATTACCTCCACCTTCCCCAACTCTGTCTCGTATCAGATCTTTGCCCTGAAGGATGTTGTCCTTTGGCTTTGGTGGTTCTCTGGGTCACGATGATAAAGGAGGGAGGAACTGTGAGGCCCAGGGAAAGTATAGGATGAAGAAAAGACCATTAGGAGGAAGATGAGAGCCCAAGGTGGGTTCCTTGGGTTTAGGGCACACTAACACAACCCACTCCTCAAGGCAGGAATTACCAGTGTGTGGTTTAGGTCATGTGCAAGGCATGGACATAACGAATGTCCCCTGCAGCTGTGGGCACATAGAGGTGTGGTTTGAGCCTGGAATTGAGAGGAATGTTACTGTCAGCAGTAAGAGGAGTTGCTATTCCAAAAGAAAGATGGCCAGAACCCTGCTGAGCTCCACCTTTCCCAGTGCCAGGGGTGATCCCAGCTCTGACTCTACCTCTTTTTCTCCACCTTCAGATCATAGAGAACTGCCCCGTCACCGGCATCCAGGTCAGAACGGATGACTTTGGGGTGAAGAGGGTGCATGCAGTGGAAACAGCCCATGGGACCATCCAGACTCCCTGTGTAGTCAACTGTGCAGGTATGGATGGGACAGCTCTGCTTTGCACAGCATGTGCACCAAGCCCATGTCCCCCAGCTGATGTGTTCTGTGTGCCCCATCTGATGTGCTCTGTGTCCCCACAGGGGTGTGGGCGCGTGCCCTGGGCCGGCTGGCAGGTGTGCACGTGCCACTGGTGGCAATGCATCACGCCTACGTGGTGACCGAACGCATTGAGGGTATCCAGGTGGGTCCTGCACCACTCCTCTGTGTGCTTCAGTGTTGGTCAGAAACAGAACCACCCCTCCTGGATGCACAAGACCTCCAGGATCCCCTCCTGTGCTGTAGGACCAGGTTCTGCATTCACCCCCCTAGGTTCTGATAGCACGGACAGCTGCCTGCCTTATTAGAGCCACATTTAGTATTTAATGACGTTACGACTAGCAGGATCATTTTTTATTATTTATTTATTTGTTCTCAGGGGAATTACTGTAGGGTCTCTGACTTGCTTGGTGTCTGAAAGCAGCGCTCATAAAGATGCCAAACACCTTCTGAACACCTTCTGTAGCTCTCCAGGCACTTCTGCACCACCCTGAGAAATCTGTTCTGCCTTCTGGCTATTGAGAACTGCTCAGGAGCCAAAGCAGACTTCATTCATTCAGGTGCCAGGGCTTGCAGAGTAACACTTTAATTAGTTTCCACCCCGCTGTCAAAATCTGAGTGGGAGCTTTCAGTCTTCGATGCCTCATATTCAGAAGTGCGGGTGTCTGTTCACCTTTCCATCCCAGTAACTCTGCTGGGCTGTGCAAACACAGCAAGGGAGAGGCACAGAGCAGAGGCTGCAGCTTGCGAGCCCCAGTGCATCCTGCTCCATCCACTTCATTTCATTTGTCAACATGAAATGCAGGAGGCTCTACGACAATACCTTGGCGCTGTCTAAATGTTCACCTATTCATCATTCACAGGAACAAATCCCTCGTTTGCTGCATGCTGCTGTGCTTTTATTTTCTCCCATGTAGGTGGGTGGCAAAGCCAAGCTCAGAGCAGCATCTGGGATCAGACCACAGCCCTTGAGTCACTTGGAATCAAGCACCCAGATTTTGGGTCTCCCTGATCTCCCTCTCCCCTGTTAGGTTGGGAGTGCAGAGGGTGGTGCAGCCCAGCTGTGGTCCAGCTGCACACTCAACCTGCTCAGATTTCTCTATGGGGATGGGATCATGGGCACATGGGGCTGATGGGGCTGCTGCAGCTCTCAGCCCTGGCTCACTCCTGCACCTCCCTTCCTGCAGAACATGCCGAATGTTCGGGATCACGATGCCTCGGTGTATCTCCGTCTCCAAGGCGATGCCCTTTCCGTGGGTGGCTATGAGTCAAACCCCATCTTCTGGGAGGAGGTGAGCAGTGCTGGGAGGCTCTCGAGGGAACGAGGTGGGTTTGCAGAGGACCCACATCAGTGGGGCGGGTGCAGCAGTGAGCTCCTCGTGGCCCTGCACTGCCCAGCCTGGAGGTACTGACCGTGGGCTGATTTTGAGAGCTCAGGAGAGCATTGCCCCTGTTGTCTTGCAGGTGATGAGGAAACCAAGTAGGGCTCAGGGCTAACCCTGCTGTGCTGCTCAGTCCCTATGTCTTAATTCAGGCTCTACCCCAGCCCTTATGCTGCATTTTCCAATGCTTCTGTCTCATGGTGGAGGGACTCCGCTCATCACATGATGCCCTGCCATATCTGTAATGTACAGGACATGCAGGGGCTTTGGGTTTGGTGCTTTGCATCTCTGTACTGAGCTGTCCATAAAAACGCAGAGACTGGGATCTGCAAAGCAGCTCTATTTTCTGTGGCCACAAATATTGGTAGAGCTGAGAAGCTCTTACCCATCAGCTGTGCTCTAATTTGTGTCCTAATTCCTGTTTCCCACCTTCAGGTATCAGAGAAATTTGCCTTCAGCCTCTTTGACCTGGACTGGGATGTATTTATGCAGCACATCCAAGGTGCCATCAACAGAGTGCCAGTGCTGGAAAGGACGGGCATCAAATCCACTGTCTGTGGGCCAGGTAACACATGCCTGGGAGCACCAATCTGCTGCCTTCAGGCTGTGGATCCCAGCAGATAGGATTGGGACCCACGAATAGAAGAGGGCAGTTTTGTGGGATGAGCTGGAAATGCAGGAGCTGACACAGCTCTTCAAATCCTTGCATGCTGTCACTGCCCTACGCTCTTATTCCTGATCCAGCCCATGCACTTACATCTCATTTGTCCCTTGCTTGCACTATGCTGTGGGACGTTGGGATTTGTGGGAGCATTGATCAGAGCCTGTGCTGGTGGCTGTGCATTCTGCTGGGGACAAGAAGGGCTGCTACACCCTGGGAGACACAGAGAGGACCCATCCATGCTGGGACTGCAGTGGTGTCACCTTCCTGGGGGTGGCATACCAGGCTGAGCCCTGCCTTCTTGTGGTGCAGAGCTGGGGGACAAACAAAGGTTCCCAGCTGGTGCTGGAGCTGCTGAGCTGGGAATGAAGGGATGCATTTTCTCAAGTAGCGACTGCTGTTTTCCTGAGATTTATATTATTATTGTGACTGTGGGGTTCCAGGCATCAGGCCTGAAGACATTTGGTTTGCTTCCAGTGTCTTGCAGCCCATGCAGGTAGGGGTGATGGCACCATCGAGCTGAGCCATAAGCAGTTGGTTTGGCCTTGAAACCCTCCACATGCCAAAAAAAATCCTTTTTGCTGAAGCACTTAAAGGGAAACCCTGGAGAGCCCTGGGAAGGAGCTGGTCTGTACACAAAGGGAAAGCAGGGCACATCTCTGGCCCTGCAGCATGCATAATGCAGAGGCTGCGCCCTGGCTTTGATTGAATTGCAGTGTGAGTGGAGCTGGGGGCCTCCAACAGACAGCTGACAGGTTTTAGATAGATGTCAAGTATTTGTAATGCAGAGGGGTAATTTGCAAAGGGTCAGCACTCCTCCTTTGCTTGATTTAAAGGTGCTGCTGGTCTGCTTGCCACAGAGGAATCAGGCAGGGCTGGAGCAAATAGCAAATGCTTGTTCTTTCTGCTGTGCTGTAAATATTTCACCACCAGAACAGAAAGCTGCCCCTCAGTGAGGGAGTTCCTGCAGTGATTATGGGAGCAAAGTTTGGGTGCAGCGCAGACCCAGCTCACATTTTGCACGGTTGCACAAACTGCCCTGATGCAGGGAGGATGGCACACCTCCAACAGGGTGTTGTGCTCTGCCCTTCACGTGTGAGAGGTGCACCAGGGATGCGGCTGATGGTTGTGTTGGGAACAAGAGCCTTGAGCAGCACCAATGGCTTCACCGAGTGGCTTAAATTCATGACACTTCTCAGCAGGAATCAATAACAGTGAAAGCAAAATAGAAAGAGGAACGAAGCCACCAATGGCAGGAGCAGGATGAAGTCAGAGCAGGATCTCTGCAGGACAGAGCCTGGCTGATGCATCTCCCTCTGTCCTTCAGAGTCGTTCACAGCTGACCATAAACCTCTCATGGGGGAGGCTCCAGAAGTCCGAGGTTTCTTCCTCGGCTGCGGCTTCAACAGCGCCGGTAAGAAAGCATAGGAAACCCCACTGCATGCATCCCAGTGTGAGCATCAAACCCCGGCAGTGATGGTGCTCAGCCTCATTGGTGTCCTCACCTCTTCCCCAGGGATGATGCTGGGAGGAGGCTGCGGGAAGGAGCTGGCCCATTGGATCATCCACGGCCGGCCGGAGAAGGATATGTATGGCTACGACATCAGGCAAGGCTGTGCTGGCACCCAATGGGGAGCATGGGGATGGGTGTTAAAATCGAGTGTCTAGGCAGTGTCTGTGCCACAGCCCCTGTCCCCTGAGAAGCTGGAATCAATTAGGCCCATGGATTTAATGAATTTACACGTGGGATTTATCTCATTTGCCTCATTCTGCTTCTACGCAAACTGCTTCCATCAGACACGAGGAGATTGCAGTGTTGAGGAAGGACAGGGTAATTATGTTTGGGTTGTGTTGTTGTTCAATTAGTGCTGTGCTTAATCCTCTAAGTTAATAATCGGGGGTGATGATTGCAACTGGAGGAAGATTAGTGTTCCCCCTCTGCAGCGCTGCATGGGCCGGGAGATTTGGGCTGTGCAGATGTTGGCTCTGTAATTGCTTTTGACTTGTTCAATCGTGTCTGATTGGGTTTGGGCTTTCTTGCAGGGCTGCTTGTGACAGCAACAAGCTTGTCAGGGGTAGATCTGTGAAAATCACATTGCTTTGATGGGAACGGTGGTAAACAGACCATGGAGCCAGCATGGGAGCTGCTGCTAACACACAGAATCACAAAATGGTTTGAGTTGGAAGGGACCCTGAAAGGCCATCTGGTCCCAATCTCTGCAGTGATTAAGGACACCCACAGCTCCACAGGGTGCTCAGAACCCCTCCAGCCTGACCCTGGCTCTCTGCAGGAACGGGGCATCCACCACCTCTCTGGGCAACCTGTGCCAATGCCTCACCACCCCTATTGTAAAACACTTTTTGCTCGTATCCAACCTACACTGGTTTGCAAAGCAGGCAGCAACCCCACGGCCCCCGTGGCCCCACAGCAGTGGTGCTTTGCCATTGGGCATCGTGGCCATGCACAGCACTGGCTCCTTGGGGTGCTCCATCCTTCTGATGCTCTGCCTTTCCTGCACTTGTCAAGCTGATAGCAGTCCTGTTTATTTGTTTTTTTTTTTTTTTATTATGATTACTGAGCTCCTCTTTAAATAACTCCCGTTCCCTCACATTTAAATATTTATCCTCTCAAATCACTTGCTTGTAAATATTTCATCTGGCAGCTGTTGCTCCTCTCCCTGCTGTCAAAATGCAGTGTGGTGGTGGTGGCAGGGCTGGGGCCATCCCCTGCCATGTGTCCCCTGCCATGTGTCCCCTGCCACCTGTCACATGTGGGCAGAGTGGGGAAGAAAGCCAAAAATACCATTCTGAAGGGTCCTATATGTTACATTTTGCCTTGCTTTCTGCCTGCTGCTCTACAGAACTGGGGGCTCTGGGCAATGGGGACAAGAGAGATGCCACCAGCCAAGAGGTGACAGTCCAGGAATCACAGGGCTATGGCACAGGATATGGCAACAACACCCCAAACCCATGCTGAACTGGCACATTCCTTCAAGGAGATCTTTCTATTTGAAAGAGGAAAACATGTCAAACAAATTTAAAATGCTTTGGGTTTTATTTATATTTCAGTCTAGGGAGAATTGGATGAAAAATGCGAGGAATGTTCGTGGCTCTCTTCCTCTTCTTGCATTTCAGGCTGGGTTGTGCAAGAAGAGCTCTCTGAGGTTTGCCCAGTGCTGAATCAGGGCAGAATTAACCTCAATTTCTCTTGTTTCTTATTTTTCCCCAGCAGGGTTGCATCCTGCTCTGGTAAATCTGACAGGGCACAGGGATGGCAGAGCCACGGGGACGAGCATTTTGATGGGCAAGAGACATGATTTGGGTTCCTCTGCTTTCCTCCCTGCAAAAGGGAATAGAAATCACAATTTTACACCACGGCAGCTGCCAGCACCTCCTATTGCAAGGCTGTGCCCGGGGGTCCTATGCCCACCATCCCTTTCTCTGCTCTTCAGGAGGTTCCACCACTCCCTCACTGACAACAACTGCTGGATCCGGGAGCGGAGCCACGAATCCTACGCCAAGAACTACTCGGTTGTTTTCCCCCACGATGAGCCGCTGGCAGGGCGCAACATGAGGAAGGACCCTCTGCATGAGGTGGGCACCCAAGTGCATCCCTGCTCCCCTCCATCAGCGTGGCACTGCTCACCCCACTGTGCAATGTAGGGATGCTGGGGTGGGCTGGCGCCAATGGAAGTTAGATGGTGGAGATGCCAAATATTCCACTAAGACTCAACATAGCGCCGGTCAACGGGTGATGAAAAAGTTCAAAGCAGAACTCAGAGCCCACCAAAAACACTCACAGAGCCCAGCAGGGAGTTGAGCCCTTTCCAATGACTGCAAATTCACACCAAAGTATCCTTCTTCCGACAGAGAGCAGTAAAACAGACATTCCTCTCCACCGGCCCCCGATGTTTGGTTGACAGCTCCGTTGTTTTCTGTCACCGAGAATGCAATTTATTTTTTAATAGTGTGTCTAATAAGCAGTGCCCATTTGACTGACAGCCTGGTATTTATGCATGCAGCTCCTGAACATGTGCTGCGTTTTATAAATAGGCACTGAATCATTGCTGAAATATTCTGCAAAATCTATTCTTTTCCGAATGGAGGTACCCAACAAAAATATCTTAATGGATCCCTAATTAATTGCGCATGGAGAGATTTTCCTGAGAGCACGGAGCAGGAATGAGAAGGTTGCTGTGTGAATCTCTGATGTTGGTATAATTATGGAAATCGTTGGGGAGAATGGTGCCGTCTGCATTCAGTGCAGCGCAGATTCAGTGCTGAAGCAGTGATCTGTGCAGGTTTTGGTGCAGGTTTTGGTGTTCAAAGTGTTGTACGGGGGACATAAACATCAGCCAGTCCATAGGGCAATGGGGAGTTCTGCTGGCTTAGAGGACAACCCCAGGAGCTGATTTTGGCTGCTGATAGCTGACACCAAGGGGTTGTGAGTTGGGTTTTGGGCGTGCATTGCAGGTGGCTGGAGGAGGGCACAGAGAAAAGTACTGCTTTTAACCTTTTTTTCCCCCATTTCTCTGGCTTTGTCTCAAGCAGGAGCTGCTCCAGCAGGGCTGTGTGTTCCAGGAGAGGCATGGCTGGGAGCGTCCAGGTTGGTTCAGCCCAGGAGGAGCAGCTCCGGTAAGCACAGTGCTGGGTGTGCAGGGTGTGCTGCCCTGAAAGCAGTGCATCTCCCCAGAACAGGTCCATGAAAACATCCATTAATTCACTCTAACAGTAAGCAGGAGGAGTTCTATGCGTGTGTCTGCCTGTCCCTCTGCAACAGGCAGCCCTAACAGGGGGCACTGGTGTCCCTTCTGTATATTGGGAACTGTGGGAAGAGGCACCCAGAGGCCCATGAGGACCTAGCAGTTCAGCCATGTCCTATAGGACCCTCTGCCTCTCCCTGCATGGTGTGGAGCAACCCTTTGGCTTCGGGGTTCTTCCTATTGCCCCTCCACATCCTCACACTTCTCCCCCAGGTTCTGGATTATGACTATTATGGCGCTTACAGCCGGGAGCGGCACAGGGACTACGCCTACAGCCAGCTGCTGGCAGATGAATACACCTTCGACTTCCCACCACATCACAACATTGTGAGTGCGGTGTGGGGGCACATCTGGAGCTGGTGGGGGTGGTGGAGGCCCCAGAGCCCCTGCAGCACTCTGCCTTTGGATAGAGTTGGAGAGGCTCAGGGGGATGGAAACTCAAAGCTGGGGGAAACGTTCTCCGAAAATGAAGCGAAACGCATGGCTTGTGCTTGGAGAGCTCAGAAGAGGCCATGTGAGTTTTACTGCTGCTCTTTCCCAAAGGAAAGAGATGAAACCATCTTGGGGAAGATCCATCTGCAGAGCATTGGTTCCCCAGCCAGCTCAGTGTCCCCAAACTGCAGTGCAGAGCAAAGGACCCGATGGAAATGGGGGAAGGAATGCCTTGTTTGATCAGATGAGCCATTATTATTGAGAGCTCTCACTGTTACTGACATAAGGAATGAGACAGGGCGTACACTGACTTGTCACCCTTAACACTGACTTTTCGTGTATATTTTGAAGCCCTACAGTGAACTTTAAAGTCACCAGGTGTGCATCCTGGTGGTGTTTCTCATGACGTAAATGGTTTCAGCAGTGTGTTTGCTTTAATTTTAGATCAAGAAGGAATGCCTGACGTGCAGAAATGCCCTGGCTCTCTTTGACATGTCTTATTTTGGGAAGTTCTACCTGGTTGGCCCCGAAGCCACCAAAGCAGCCAACTGGCTGTTCAGTGCTGACGTGAGCAAAGCGCCAGGTACTGCCAGCCCCTCTCACTGTGCGTGGGGCATCCTGAACCAGAGCACAGAGCAGGGACCCAAACCAGCTTTTGTTCTGTGCATGATACAACCCTAAGGGGAAAAAGCCTTGCTCCCATCTCTGGGTAGGGCACGGTGCACTCAGGTGCAATGGTAGTAATCGGTTTGTTTAAGAATTGGGATAAGTGTTGATGCTCCCACAGGCAGCACCGTGTACACCTGCATGCTGAACAAGCGTGGAGGGGTGGAAAGCGACCTGACCGTCAGCAGGATCAGCCCCGGTGACCCCAGCTCCCCGCTGGCCCCTGCCTTCCAAGGTAAAACCCTGGGCATGGGGCAATGGGGTTTGTGCCTCCAGCCTGAGCCAGGCATGCAGCTGCATCCTTGGGATGCTCCCAGCAGTGGGGATGGGAAGCCACAGAGATGGGCTCAGCACAGGGCTCTCTGTCCTCACTGTGCTCAGGACCATGCGTGGCCGCGGGCACAGTGCTGATTGCATTTACCTAATGGCAGCCACCTGTTTTTTTCCACTTCCACCCCTCGCTGTCTATAACCCAATTATCCCCTTTGTGCCGGGGGCTTGTGCTGCTCGTTGGTGTTATTGGGTTTCTTCAGGCCAGGATGGTGCTCTGACCTCTCCCAAAGCCCTTATCAGCTGCCATAAAGGCGAATTGAAAGGAAGCAGAGCAGCCAACCCTGGGGGCAGGAATGGCATTAGGGAGCAGCAGGGGAGGAGGGCACCAAATTGGGCTGCAGCCCCACTGGCAGCACTGTGCTGTGCTGTGGCACCCTGGCATCCCACACCCCTTTATCCCCAGTGCTCAGGGGCAGTGTGGTGATGGGGAGTGGTTGGCAGAGCTGCAGGGTCTGACGGGTGATGGAGAAGCTGAATAGGAGTGAGTCTATTTTTTCAATTACAGTAGGTGGCTGCACTTATTATCGTTATGACAGAATATCAGAGAGTAATTTTGTAGTGGCAGGAAAGGAAGAGGAAAGATCGATCGCGCAATAACCAGTTCCTAAACCACATCCTTGGGAATTTTTCACCCAGGATTATCAACAAGACAAAATTCCTCCTCATACTCACACACACAGCTCCTTGCCTACCCACCCTAACCCTGAGCCCCAGTGGAGTTACATTACAGGGCTGCAATGGGGTTGGATTCCCAGCACAAAGGAGGCTGTAGGCACACAGCTCCCATCTCCCACGTCCAGCCCAGCTCCGATGCACCATGCCCTTCTTCCTCCACACCATTACATTGACTCTGTGGTAGACAAAACATTGAGATCTTTTGCTGTTGGCCTCAAGGACAGGGAGTTTTCTCTTTCCGTGATGTTTTCTCCCAGGTATCTCCAGGGCTTTGACAACTGGCAAAAACTCCATCAGCAGGGCTGGTGTGGGCAGTGTCTCTGAACTGCAGCGTGCTGGGGAAGCTGCATGCAAAGGAAAGCAAATGCAGTGAATTGTGAGGCTGCTGTGGCCCATTGGAGGCCAAGAGCACTTGCATTATGCTACCTTTGACTCCAGCCCTTAGAACTCCCTGCATAAGAGTAGAGCAGCAGGGTTGCTCAAAGTGCTCTGTTTTTCATGGCCCCACATCCTGACTTACACTGAGCAGAGCATCACCCCCAGCCTAGTGCCATTGATCTTAAAGCACTGCTGGGGTTGGGGGATGTCATTTTCCAGGAGATGGTTACTACCTGGCCATTGGTGGGGCCGTGGCTCAGCACAACTGGTCACACATCACCACAGTGCTGCAGGACATGAAGCTGCAATGCAAACTCATTGACTGCTCGGAGGAGCTGGGCATGATGAGCGTGCAGGGTCCACTGAGGTGAGTGGGCTGTGGCCTCTTTCCCTGAGCCCCATTCATGAGATAAGATCCCCAACCCATCCCACTGTGCCCACTGACCATGTCCCCAAGTGCCACATTTCCACCGTTCTTGAACACCTCCAGGGACGATGAATTCACCACTCCCTGGGCAGCCCATGCCAACACCTCACTGCTCTTTTGGAGAAGAAATCTTTGCTATATACCCAACCTGATGAGTAAGCAGCTGTTGGTGATGCCCACCAGGAGGAGAGCAGTGAGCTCTCTGCTTTGCTGTTCCCCCACAGCCGCACTGTGCTGCAAGAGCTGCTGGACACCGACCTCAGCAATGAGGCCTTCCCCTTCTCCACCCATAGGCTCGTGAAAGCTGCAGGATGCATGGTAGGACAGCACTTGGGGTCCCAAGGGATGTCTTCTACTGCCTATGGGTTTGTTGAGTGTCTTCTCTGGGGTATGGCTTCCTCTGCAATGAGCAAGCCAGGTTTTGGGTTGTTTTTTTTTTGTTGGAAAAAGCCAAAAACCATGATGGGAACTGGGCTTGGTGGCTGGTGCATGGTGGTGCTGGAGGGAGCTGAGGGCCTTCAGGCAGATGAGGGGTGAGCACTGGTGATAGAGAGATTTATTTGACACTCTGGATCCCTTCCTCTTCCTTTAAAAAAAAAAAAAAGAGGTAGGGACGATTTAATATGAAATGTGTCACATCCTCCCTGTAAGGGCTGAGGAGCCTGAGGACTCAGTGCATTTGATCACAGAAGAAGCCTGACAACCTTAAGCTTTCTGTTTAAGCACGGATCATTTTGCATTTGCTGAGAGTTCAGTGCTCGTGTCTGCGGTTATGCAATGGGACATGGGGATGGCCACGTGCCAGGGGCTGAGCCTTGGGGGTGATGAGAGGAATCCAGCCCCACTGCCCACCCAGGGGGAGCTGATGTGTTTTCAGATACTGTTTTTTCCCAAGACTGTCATTCAGCAAGAAAACAGCACGGCTGGGAAACAGAATCTCATTTTCTTGCTTACTTGCTTGATGACATACTCAGTCAATTCCAGCTAAGCCCTTGTAACTGGAAATGGTGGTTAAGAATACACTTTGAGTTCTAGGCAGAAATCAGCTAAAGTAGTGCAGTGATATTGGTTACGTGGGTCTCTACATAGCATCCATTGGTGTAACAGTGGCTGTAGCAGGAAACAATACTTCCATTTGTTTATTGACAGTGTTGTAGGAAATAATGCAATTTTGGAACTCACTACAAATCTTCCTGAAAGTGGCTCAAGAAAATAACAGCAGGGATTCCTCCTCCTCCTCCTTCTCCTCCTCCTTCTCCTCCTCCTTCTCCTCCTCTTATCTGGTTTGTGACCCCAAAAAGTGCCCCCTGCTCTCAGGGATGGGCTTTGTTTCAATTCATCCGCAGGAAAAGTGATGCTTGCTTGGGGATTCTGCCATGTTGTGTGCTGATGTAGCCTGAGACACCCTGAACAGGAGAGTTTGTGGCCACAAAGTGTCAAAGTGCAGCCATAAACTTCGTGCCAGCTGCCATTGGAGCAGGGAATGGGACAGGAGTGAAATTGGGTTAAGCCACACACGTGGATACTTTTCATTGGGAATTAAAGTGGCTTTAATTCGAATGCAGCCGGCTGCTGAAAGGCTTGCTGCTAAATCAAATTACGGCTATTTAGAGGGTGAAGAAGAGCCTCGTCAGGGCTCAGAACACTTGAAGTAAGGCACAGATTTGCCTAACGCAGATAGATCCTCCAAACTGTCACTGTGCAGGTGCCAAAATCCACTGTGCTTCCCAAAGAGGGGATGGTGGCACAGGGGACCCTAAGGCCAGCCCTGATTGCAGCTCACCACATATCACTGTCAGTGCTGACAGGCTACAATCCTCCCTTGTAAGAGCTGTGACAGCCTCGCAGCATCTCCTAATAATCCACTTATCCCTGTGAAAGGTGTAGCAATGTTCTCATCTGCTGGAGTGTCACTGGTTTATTTGCATTTTGCCCCAAGTTTGCAATAATAATAATAATCCTGTCCTAAACTGCTCACAGAAATGTTTTGGTGTCTTTTAAGTGCAAATGCCCTGATTTAAAGGAAGAACAGCTTTCCTGCCCTCTCAGGGTGAGTTCAGAGGGGCTGAACGCAGCCCAGCAGCTCTAAGTGGGAGCACTGAGGTTTTTGTGCATTAACACAGAGGTTGAACAGAATCAGCTGGTGAGATAGGAGAGTTCCTGCAGAGTTAATGACTCTGGAAATTACCGATTGGTTTGTGAATGTATGTATATAGTGTCTCTCATTGTATTGAACAGCAGAGAAAGGGCCCCGTTTGAATTTCAGTGCTGGGTGTGGGGTAAAGTTCAGGTTTGAGCTTTCTAGAATAATCAAAACGCTTTTGAACTGTTGCTCAAAGACTCGGGAGTTGATGCTATTTCACAGCTCTGTTTGAAGCTGAACAGAAACCTCAGCTCCTCCTGGGCCTGCTCTGTGTGTTACACACCTGTATGCAGCTCCTATTCCTCTCCATGCAAACCTAACTCCCGGTGCCCCAAATTTTCCAACCATACATGTTTCCTACAACAAATGGCTCGGCCTTATTGTCAGGATGCCTGGTTTCCCGCAGCAGCAGCCTTCTTGGGGCTCGGTGCATTCAGTGTTGGGTTAATTACACTGCTGGGAGCGATGCTACAGAGCACTGCCTCTGCTGCAGGATCCTGAGCATCCTCACGGGGTGGGCAGGGTGAGGGTGGGGATGCTGGGCTCAGCCCTGGGTGTCAGCAGGAGGCTGCTGGGGGTGGGACGCATCCCCAAAGTGCCACACAGAGAGCTCACAGCAGGATGGTCCCACTGGGGTATGGCTTCTCTACCCCACCAGCAATACAGCAGATTTCAGGGACACAGGATGCAGTGCCCATAGGCTTTCCCAGGGTGTACTGGATCAGCAGAGGGAGACAAAGGCCTGGCTGGTGTGGGAGCATTGCTGCTGACCGACAGTCGCTGCCACGCTGCACAGCCCTGCTCCATCCTCAGGGATTTGGGGCTTTTGTACTCTGCAGGTGCGTGCCATGAGGCTGTCCTTTGTTGGTGAGCTGGGCTGGGAGCTGCACGTGCCCAGGGAGAACTGTGTCAAGGTGTACCAGGCAGTGATGGAGGTGGGTGCCCGGCATGGCATCACCAACGCTGGCTACAGAGCCATCGACAGCCTCAGCATCGAGAAAGGTTTGAGCCTCTCCTTACGGCAGCACTTTTTGCTTTGCTTCTGACCTAATGTGCAAATGTCTTTTTCCCAGCATGGGGGTGGGTTAGTGAGGATGGAGGGCAACTTTCCCATCTGTGGCTCCTATTGAGGGTGCTTTGTCCAAGGCCAAGTGAAGCAAGGGATGCCCAACAGGCTGCTATCCCGGTCTCCAGCTTTTGCTTACCAAGGCAGGGACACCCCTGTTTGTTCTCTGCAGGGTACAGACATTGGCACGCAGACCTCCGCCCTGATGATACACCACTGGAAGCAGGCTTGGCATTCACCTGCAAGCTCAAATCCAGCATTCCCTTCCTGGGACGGGAGGCTGTGGAAGCCCAAAAAGCTGCAGGCATCTTCCGCCGCCTCGTCTGCTTCACCACGGATGAGTGAGTGCAGTGCCCTGGGGCACTTCCATGCTCCTCAGCACCCAATGCCAGTGTGATGAGACTCACAGTGCTCCCACCCAGCCCCATGCATGCACACGGGGCTCATCTCCCACCTGCTCAGCTGCTTTCTGTGCTCTAATTCAGGCTCTAATTTAAGTCCCACCACACATTCCCTGCTAGATACTTAATGGGAGCTGGAAACAGTGTGACAGGGAGTGGGTTGATCGTGTTGCACCCAGAGCAGCAGCAGCAGGGCTTGTGAATCAAGCTGGAGAAGATTTGACTGCAAAGCAGAGGGGGCTGTGGGGCTGCAGCCTCCATGCCAGGGGGAGCCCCAGCACATGGGGTTGCCGCCTTCAACCCCTTCCTCTGGTTTGTGCCGTTCCAACCTGGTTCTTTCCTGCCTTTACCCTACAGGAAGGTGCCAATGTTCGGCCTCGAGGCCATCTGGAGGGACGGCAAGGTGGTGGGCCACATCCGCCGGGCAGATTTTGGCTTTGCCATTGACAAAACCATCGCCTACGGTTACATCCGCGATCCTGCGGGGGGACCCGTGAGTACGGCACTGTCAAGTCCCTCCCTGTGCCCAAAGGCTGGCAGGGATGCACAGCACCCGTGTTGGAAGCCATATGCACAAATATGTTGCTGGCAGCTGGGGTGCGAGACATTGCACCCTCGTGTCCCTCCCCCGTGCACAGTGGTGGTGGCACAGGATGCAATGGGGAGCGATGCTGCAGCTCAGCTGCTGCACTGTCCTCACTGGTGACATCCAGACTGCCACACAGCATGGCTCTGCTACTGCTATCCACCCCCAGCGCTTTCTCAGATGTTAATTGCAAGCAAGTATTTAATTGTGGTGGTAAATTAACTGATATTATGGGAGTGAATAGCCAATAGGAGCATGGCAGGTTCCTAATTAACCCTGGGAGACTCCTGGCTGGTAAATCAGGTGCCCTTGTTAAGCGGTGTGTTATAGACAGAGAGCTGCGGGCCTATGTGGGGATAGAGGGCTCTGGGTGATGTCCCTTGGGGCTGGCTCTCTTGCAGCACATATGCTTGTGCTTTAATCCTCTGGCTTGCCTTAATGTTTAATCCTGTGTTAGTGCAATGCTCCTGAGTCAGGCAGTTCAGAGTTTGAGCTACCTCTGCAGCCCCCTGGGGCAACATCTCTATTTTGGGGCATGGCTTTTCCTCAGGACAGCTTTGTACCATTTGGGACGGGGAGAGGGATGGGGATGTGTGCTGATTAGGGGGATGCAGGGCTCAGGGCTGCTCATTTCCTTTGGGGAGATGTGCAGGAGCATTTCAGTGAGCATTTGAGGGGTGTCAGACTGTCCCTGTCCCATAGCCAGGAGGTGGCTGCAGGCTCTGGGATGCTGCAGTGGAGTCTCCAATAGGTGATCCCATTCTGGGACCGCTATTATGACCATTTCCCCCTATATTTGGGTTTCTCCCTTCCCTGCCATCTTGTTCCCAGCCACCTCTGCCTGCCCCAGGCAGTGTGATGGAGGTGATGGGATGGAGGTGGCACGGGGACAGCCTCCTCCTGCCTGCAGCACTGAGTGCACCCAGCCGGGCACATCGATCACAACTTTCCCCTCTCTTCCCTTGCTGCAGGGAAATCTCTGTGGCTATAGGGCCGACAATAGGGCCAACTATGGGTCTGACAGCTGCAGACACCACAGGGAGCAGTTGTGCACGCGGGGGCTGTTTGCAGGGCCCCAGCCCTGCCAGCTCATTGTGCAGCCGCCTGCAGAACGCAGCGCTCATTAAGCAGATGTTAATGCACAGCCTTAATCTCTCTGCTCCCTGTGCCTAACTCCCGCTTGATTTATGCCGTGATGGGGGGTTGCTGTGTGGGCAGGGACCTTTCCCTGCATTAAGGCATCTTGGGTGCTGGTACTGCTGAAGGGGACGTCTCCTGCAAGGACAACCTGCTGCTATCATGGTCCTCTCCTGCAAGCAGTGCCTGGCTGGGGATTAGTGGGGACTGACCCCATTGGGTTTGCACCCCCCTGCTGCCCACCCAAAGCCTATTTGTGAGCCCACCTGACTTGGATGCTATTGGGGAAAAAAAAAATATCCAAAACGCTCCATGCTTTTAAAAATCTACTTTCCTCTTCTCTGTGCATCCTCCTGGGATGGCAGAGCTGGGTTTTCTGCAGAAATCCCGGTTGTAGGGTTGCATGGGAGAGTCCTCTGAGCGTGGGGAGGGTGCAGAGATGGGGTTAAGTGGTGTGGGGGCTGCTGCTGCCTCCTGGTACTTGGCTGTGCCTAACAGGGGGCTCTCTGCCTTGCAGGTCTCACTGGATTTTGTGAGGAGTGGCAGCTATGAGCTGGAGAGGATGGGAGTGTGCTACCCTGCCCAGGCACACACCAAATCCCCGTTTGACCCGGACAACAAGCGAGTGAAGGGCATCTACTGAGAGCCTGCAATTGAGAGAAGAGAATACTGCTGGCCCCATTCCCTGCCCGGCAGTCTGACGTGAACTCACTGAATAAATTTGGGTCAGATTAGAAGGGAAGAAGAGGAAAAGATTTCAAAAAGTCCAAGAATTTTGTTCCTGGGTTTTCTAAATGAAGCAATACCACTACAGCAATAATTCTTTCCCATGGGTTAATCGACCTGAAAACAGTGTTTTGCTTGACTGCAAATGAAATGGTTTCAATTTTTGACTTTGCTGGAAACCCTTTTCTCCCTAAACGTAGTTTCACGCTGCTTGGAAATGAATTTTTTAAACTAAATGTCTGCCATTAATACAGCCATCACCTCCAAACCTGCCATCGCACCGGGCTCTGTCCCCACTCTGATGGGTGTCACTGGGTTGGGTCTGTGCCCTGGGAGCCTAGTGGGTGGGGAGACATGGGTAAATGGGTGGCCCCTCAATAGTTACAGCCCTGCACATCCCTTGGGAAGGAGCAGGGGCAGGGGATGCTCTCCCTGCTGCAGGATTCTTCTGAACTGTGATATAATTGGTTTTATCTGAAAGGGTTTTAAGCATGAGCTTCTATTGGCTTCATTGGTAACTGTCACCTAAATCCCTTTAAAAATCGAGCCCAGGGTGCCCAACCATTCCGTGCTCACTTCAGTTCTGTTTGCTTTGCCGAAGGGCTGTCTCTGTGCAGGAGATGGGAAGGGCTGATCTTCCTCAGTTCCAATCACTGACCTTTTCCATTTCCAGCAGCACAAGAGCAAAGGCAAGTTTTGAGCTGTGCATCCAGAGAGCAATTGGTGCCCCAGGGAGCGCCGCTGGCTTGCACTCTGCTTTTGAAATGAGGAAAACATGACGGTGCCACACAGCACCTTAATACTGAGCTGGGGGAAAGATTTCCATCTTCCGTCCCTGGAGAAGAATGGAAAATCCCAAAGGCGACTGCAGCTTGGATCTGGCTCACTCTCATACATACTGCATGTATTTGTGGGTCTATGTGTGCATCCTCTGAATCTGGAGGAGCTTGACATGTGTTGGCCCACACAGAGTGGACCCACTGGGCACTGTGTGCTCAGCTCACTGTGTGCCCTGCGGTCCCTATGCAGTGCTGGCACCATCCCAAAGGTCACCATGGAGGGGGGGATCCATGCAGGTGCTGAGCTGCCAGTCCTAGCTCTCAGCCCTTCCCTGGTAGCCACCAGCACCACTGCCCCATGCAGGCAACCTATGGAAACCACCCTCCTCTTTCCCAAAATCAGAGGGAGCAAAAGGACAGGTCATGGTCCCTTTGCTCACCCCATCACCAAGCTGTTTTAATTACAAACGGGCACAGGCGGCGAGGGACTCCGCCCCATCCTTCACAGCACAGCAAGGGGTCTGATCTCTTCTGAAGCTTTTACCTGCCTGAAGAAATAATCACACTCCACGCTTTTCATTTTATTCCCTCTGACTGGCTCTGCTTGCTTTGTCTTCTCTTTGGAGCCAGTTCCAATCCCTTCGCCTCATGCAACAAGCGCCGTGGGCAAGGGTTTGAGCTCCAGAATGCTTTGGTTTTGCTGCAAACATTAACAAACAAAATCCAGGTGGATTTGTCTGTGAATAGGATGTGATAGCAGTCCCTGAGGGGCCACACTCCTGTCCATTTGTTCTAATAAATGTGTGTTCATGTTGGCTACACGGGGATGCCAGGATTAGCCGTGTGTCTGCTGAGATAATGCAGCTCTGTCTTCCCTCCCAAAGCTCAGTTTTCATCCTGGAAGGCCATGTAGGGGTTGTGTGTATGGAGAGCATGCCCCAAACCAAGGAAGGCAGAGCCTGGTGTGTGCACGTGGAGCCTCTGGGTTGGACAAAGACCCCCAGGTGGGATGGATGCCCTGGGTCTTTTCCCAGGTCCAAACAAAAAGCAATTTTTTTTTTTAATTTCTCATTTCGATATTTAATGGAGTCATTCTTCCTTCCAAAAGCTTTGTCTCTCCCCCCCCTGATTTCCCTCCCCCATCTCCCCCCCTCTCTCGGTCCCATCACCAAAGCATCATTTGTCCCCATCCACTGGCATCTGGTCGCATCAAGGTGAATAATCCCCAACAGGGGGGAGTGCACCAGGGGGGTACAGAAAGGCTCCCACGCTGCTCCCACATCTGCATTCCATGCCTCAGTTTCCCTGTGAAAAAATGTTTTCCCCCTTCCCCGGGGCCAAGCTGGGTTCGGCACAAAGCGAACCTCCGCGCTATGATTCTGGGGGTGGAAAGCAGCATTACTCAGAGCCAGGATTGCTAATAATGCACTAAATATAGAGCTTTCCATCTCCAGGGTACTTTCTGAACTAGGAGAGATGAGACCTAACCCCCTCTGGAGGCAGGAACCTGGGCAGGGATGCAGGGAGCAATGGGATGATGCTCCCTATGGCTGTCCATGCTGCGTCCCATCGCGGTGATGGCACACCAGCAGGGACTGGGATGCAGCTCAGCCCCTCCTGATGTCACCCAGGTTGATGGGCACAGGGACGGCAGGACGAGGCCCTGGGCAGTGAGGTCGGGGCTCCTGCAGTGTCTTGGTGATGCTAGGAAGCGGCTGCTTCTCCCACTCACCCTGCAAGAGAATTGCATGCTGTGAGACGGAGTACCCGGGGACTCTACGATTCTACATGCTTATAAAAATGAAATGATCTTTAACATTGGAAGTGTTTTTAACCCAGAGCAGGATGTTTTCCCATGAGGCATTACTAATTATTTGTATTGCAGGCGCACCCACGCATCCCGGGAACAGAGCAGATGTCTGTGGTGCAGCATATTGCACAAAAGCAACGCAATGGGGGAACTTCCACCCCAAAATGCATTACCCACCGAGTCAATAGAGGCAGCTCAAAGCCACGGGTCCTTCCAACCCACCGTGCTCAGAAAGGCTCCTTCTGGGGGCTGCAGGGAGGTTGAAGCTGAGGTGACATTTGCAATGTGCCAGTGCAGTTGTTTACACACACGACATGGCAGCACGGATGAGACACTGCAGGCAGAGCCAGGGAAAGGCTGGCACAGCTATGGGAGCTCAGGGTGACCACAGCCAGGAGAAAATCTTCAGCATCTCTCATGTATGGGGGTGGCTTTCTCAGGGATGCTACATGCAAGGGGCAACCTGATGGGTTTAGATTGCTCCTAGGGCTGAGCTTGCAGGGCAAGATCCAGTTCCTATGTGGTGTGCTGGGTTGAGTAGGGGCTGGGGGGTTTGGGGGCTCAGCACAGGCTGGCTTTGGCTCCTTGCTTAGACAGAACCATCATGGCCAGGCTGAGCTGCAGCGAGCAGGAGGAGGGAGATCCGGAGACAAAGAGGTAAAGGTGAGTCATCAGCAGGAGGAGAAACGTATAATTTATGTTTTAGGATGAAATCCTTGTAGCGTGTCAAGCAAATCAGGCCAGAACTTAGAGCTTGCACCACATCAGTATGCTCTGCAAAAAGTGAAGGGGAGCAGAGGACCCCTCCCCATACGACTGGAGAAGGACAGCACTGCTGCAGCCAGATAGAAAAACAGCAGCTTTCTGTGACCTCAAGGCTTAGGGGAGCAGTGAGAGCTTTGGGGCTGCGTGTGCTCTGAACCACCAAGGGCTGCTCAGCTCCCTGTCCCATCGCTGTGCCAGCATCACCCTGCTGCCCTCAGCCCTGCCCTGCAGGATGACACCAGGAACTGGTGGAGAAAGGCACCATTGGTGCTTTTAAATCCCCACTGATTTATGTTATGTCTGATGATGATGTTGTCACAACCATCATTTCTGGGCATTTTCTGTCCTCCTCGTTTTGCTGTGGATCTACATTTGGAGTTTGCACAGACGCAGCATACAATGAGCTTGATCTGCTAGGACCTGATGTAATTGGCCCAAATCCTGTAAATCCCCTCACGTTTCTCCTTGGTTCTCCATATCACCATGCTTCAACACTCCGGTTGCTCAAAGAGGGCTGTAAATCACTTTATGCAAATGCACATTCTCTAATTGCATCCGGCTGTGCACAGTGTAGCAGAAAAGCTAAGTCAGGGCTTGAAGCAGTGATTGAGCACCTGGTAGGAAGGCAGGGCCAACCCAGGGCAGCTCAGGTGTTTGCAATGCACTGAGTGACCAGAAGGGCTGGAGCCAGGATCCACCCCTGCCCAGACCTCATTTAGGGCTGGCAGGGGAGGTGAGGGCTTCTTGCCATAGATCCCTACATATCTGAGGTCTTCTGAAGGTAAGCGGGTTCTTTCCTTTATTTCTTGCTCATTGCTGTTGCGTTTGAGCAAATTGTCACTGGGTGCAGCCTGGGATCTTGCTGTTCTGTTGTTATTACTGCACTTTCCATCATGTTATACATAATTCTTTTAATGCTGGTGCTGGGGCTCTGCAGCAGCTCCCTGTTCTACATTTCCATGTACCAGAGCCCCAACCCATCTTATGGGCTCAGCCTAGCAGTGTTGCTGAGCTACTTTCCCCCAGGCCTGGATTTCTGCTGTTTGCACATCAGCCTTTTGCTCTGAAAGCTCTACGTACCGGGAAGCGCACAGCTGAGGATTTGTTGCAGTGCACTGAGATGGGAGCGAAGTTGTAGAGGGATTTCAGCACATCTCTGTTGAACGCATTCCAAGGGATAGAGGAGAACTGCTCTGGGATGGAGACCTGTGGGCATGTGCAGATCTCCTCATCATTAAACCTGTGCGGGAGAGATGCCATGCTGAAATGCTGTAGAGATGTCCTGGTGCAGCATTCCTGCCTGCCTTAAGCTTGACCTGGAAAGGCTCCAAACTGCATATGGAAGACTTGGGGCCACTGGCCTGTCTGTGCATAGGATAATCCCTACGAGGTCAGATCTCCCTGCAGGCTGTAGGGCTGCTCAGTGACTGCCTAGGATCACACGATGTGTTTTACAGATCCCTTACACTGAGCCATGCAGCACAGCCCCAAACCCAGAGGGTTCCCCATTCCCAAGGGTTCATCCTGCCTCTAGCCTTAAAGCCTGGGCTTGGTGCCTGCTTTGGGGTAGGACTCCTTCCAGCCAGGTCCTGTTCAACCAGCACTAAAAACCCACATTCACAATTCTTTTTCCAATATTGCACAGAAGGATCCCAGCACTTTCCCTGCTTCAGTCACCCTGTACCTGTTGACGGTGTTGAAGTAGAGGTGCAGATAGCCTGGATCCACGGCGCTTTTGCAGAGCTCCAGTTGTGTCTGGGGGTAGTAGTGCACGTAGTTCACGCACATCTCCTCCATGATGCCAAACCCACCCTGTGGCACAGACACCAAGAAACAACACCTGTCCTTGCAGCAGCCATGCCAGGATCCAACCTGGCAATGCTGAAGCCACAGAGGATGCAGAAAGGGCAGAGGGGCTGCAGGGCACTGAGCCCACACCTGTGTGCACACACTGCCCTTTGTGCAAGGATGCATTCAGGCCTGATTGTGTGCTTTACATTAAAATGCAGATTCCCTGTAATCCCTCTACTATATTTAGCTTTGTGCCTGTTGATGGTACCTCTGACAGGCTCTTTTATTTTTGCTAGGAAAAAGAAAGAAATAACATGCTCTGTCAAAAAAAAAAAAAAAAAACAACAACAACAAAACCACAAACCTACTTCTCTTTAATTACAGTTAATCCCCAGTGGAACAGTTTGTGATGGGAATTAGAGTGACACGTGCTACTTCTCAATTAGCACCTTGGCATCCCAGCTACAGGCAACATAGCCTTGGCTCATTTTTTTTTCCAACCCCCCCCTGCTTCCTCTTCTTGTTTCTGGTTCAGCCCAGTTTGCACTGATTTCAACCCCTCCACTGCCATACTCACCACGGTCACTTTGCTCCTGCCCTCTGTGTTGTAGGTACAGGTGGTGATGAGTTCGTCACCCTGTGAGGTTCCAAGAGATGTGAGGGGGTGGGGAAATACAAAGCTTCCCCCCTCCCCAGACAACAAATACTGGCGTGAATGAATCTGTGATGCAGCAGACCTGTGCTCTTT